AGTACAAAATGATTTACAAAAAAAAATTCAACCTGCTTTTGCTTGTTTTTATGGTTAACTTAACGTATCGTTTTTTTAAAAGGAGATGACAAACAAACAGATAGAAAAAATATGGAAGGAGTCGAGGGTGTTATTTCTGGCTGTTGTTTTACAAAGGAAGTAATAACTCTGCAGCCAAAGTGCTGAATCTGACGCCTCTAGAAGATAAATGAGAGAAACTCAGAGGCCTGGCCGCCACACAGTCACATTTTGCTTTATCGCTTTCTGTGCTCCAAAAAGAATTTCCACATATCCTTCTGCCTGTCTAAGAAGAATTTGAATGAGAATGAAATAATCTGCTGTAAAATCCAGCCAGGGGTTTACTCTTTAACGCACAACTATTTATGGAGATTTCTACAATAAAAAAAAAATCTCCATTATATGATATCGATGCAGGCAGTGTTTGTGTGGGTGTGGCTTTGGGCTGCAATCAAAAACTGGATTCAGTGACATAGCCTGAAAAAGTGAAAGTCTTAAACCTGCATTCTTTTTAATGGCCAGCAGGGGGTGGAAATATAAGCCTACAAGCCTATTTGCACATCTTTAACCTCAGTGAACACTTTTTATCAGGCATTTTTTAAATATAGCACAATCTTTAATTTCTAAATTGTAGTTTCATTGAGAATAAAATAGTAAAGCAGGGCCTGCCTTTGGTTGGCTGGCTTCTTTCTTCAGCATTGAGTTTCTCAGACAGATCCTCCCATGCTTTTCATGGCTAGTTTCAAAAAGACCAAAACAGTAATGCCACTGGCCACAATGCTCACTTTTATATACAATCTAATGGTCTACTTTCCAGATTAAACTTATGCAAATTTTGATTTTATGCAGAGTAAATAGAAAGTCAAAGATGCAAAGTGATGCAAATACAATATTTCAAATATTTTAAGAACAGGTAAAATAAAAAAAACCCCATCATGCTTGGCAGTAAAAGCCTGTGTGCGGTCCAAACTTACTGCTGCTTGTACACACCTGCAGCTGAAAGATTTACCTTTGCTTTAATGTAGAAAAACAACAACAACAACAAAAGAAGATGTCAGTTATTGGTTGTAACTGTATTTGTGGCAAAACTTTGGTCTGAACACTGTATTGTTGAAACATTTATTGGCATTAGTGATTTATCTAATGATTATTTTGTTGTTTCTTCTATAAAATATAAAAAAAATACAAAATCCTGTCACACAGAAAGTTTAAGAAGATAATGTGAAGAGTTTTTGTTAATGTACTGATTAGCTGACAAACTATTTGACCTCTAATATGTTTTATATCATTAAATAGAATGAGCAACAATACAGATGTTGTTGCATATATTAAAGTGATTATGAAAGAAAAGCCCAGCAGCCCAGAGTTTTCATTGCCTTTCACTAGACACGATGGAGGTATGTAATGTAATGCAGATGTCACATGTGATGATTTAATGTGATCAGCTAGCCAAAGGACACTGATATAACCTGATTATGCACGAGTCCTGAGTCACCCTGTCAATACTTGCAGAAAATACAAGAAAAACACATCAACCATTCTCACTTACATCAGTTTGCTGAATCTGGTTTATCACCTCATTTTCTCTTTCCCCAGACTCCCTCTTTTTGTTCGGCATTTCTGTTTTGCTGTGGCAGGATTGCGGTTTAAAGCAAAAACCTCGACAAACACCAAGGCACTTAGACATGGGGCAGAGAAAACCATTTTTGGCCGCAGCAGAACAAAGTCAAGTTCATCTCCAAAATATTTTTTCCTCTGCTCTCTTGGATCCAGACACCAAGTTTGCAGATTGATTTTCATAAAAAGTAAGTGGGACAAATCTAAGACAGCTCACAGATTTTAAGGCTGGAGAGAATTTAACTTCAGTCTTTTGAGGTTTGTGAGATTGCCAGATTTTTAAGGTGGATAAAAAAACTTTCCAAACTTCAAATATAAAACATGGGTGTGTTCAGGTTTCTGCGTGTATTCTTTTCCAGCTTGCCGCTCCATGTCTTCTGCTGGCTCCGAAGCAATGACGAGGAAACCTGGGAGGTACAAAGTTTTTGGATTTGAAAGCAGCCGTGAAGCTGAAATTCCACTGAGAGTGAGGTAAAATGTGGGAGAAAGGTCCATTGTGGTTGGTCTGATGTTTTGATGTGAGTGAGATTGTGTGTATGCATGTTATTGCTGAAACAAGCCAATTTTTTGGCAGTAAACACTGACAGACCCACAGTTATAAATCATACAGGGCAGGCCTCCATGCATCCATCTGTTTATACTCATCTGTTCTTCTTCATCATCACTTCATCTGTCAACAGGGGTGACTGTTAACTCTTTCCAGAACTTGTTATTTAATGACATTATTATAATTTTTGCATAACTATAGAAGCCCACGGTAAGCACAGGTTGGTGATTTGCAGTTTAAAGGATGCACACATGAAAGAAACAAACACATTTTTTGGCACTTTGTGCATTTCAAAAACAGACCCTGCTTGTATATTATTGGCTTTCAAAATTGTGTATTTGTTTGCTACATAAACGACTACTGAGCAACATTCAGCTGATGAGTAAACGTCCAGCATCCAAATTGTGTGTTGATTGTTTTTTTTTGGTATTCACAAACTCCTGAAGGAAATATTTTAGGACTTTGTAGCTGTGAAATGTTTTATTTGATTTATGTTTTACTCTTTGTTGTTAGGTTTAACATTTGTTGGGCTTTTTGGATAAAAATAGCTACCACCATGCAACTGGAAATGATGCTGATGCTAAAAAGAATACTTAAGCTCAAAGAATCAGCTAAAAATCTTTGCCAGAATGCAGATTTGATAGATTGCTCAAGCTTTAAAAAACAAAAATCACTATTAGTACCTGATAGAGCTTTAATCACTAAGGACTGTAAAAAGTGACAGAAATATAAAAAAGTTTAAGCCTTAAACTCCACCTCAATAACTATACACTGGAAAAGCGTGAAAGTGGAGAGACTTTTTGACTATGTGACGAGCACTTCTGACCATTTACTGGACCCTAAGTGCAGAAAGAGGGGTATCTACAGGATGCTGTAAACAAAACTTCATTTAGAATAATTCTAAATTTCGTTTTGCAGCTGTTTTACAAATGGAATAGTATAAATAGATCTGAAAGAAAAGCATGCTTTGTTGAGAAATGGTGAATATAAACAGTACTTTAGTTTGCATTCAAATAAAAGAAAAAAAATAACGAAAAAGTTCAATTAGTTTGATTTTGTGGCATCGCCTGGTTTGCAAACCACCAAACAGTTACCTACTTGGGCATTGCTGTAACGTGTAATAAGGCAACACTGTGGTATACTGAGCAAAAGCCATTGCTAAATAATACTGTGAAGAGCAGCTGCCTGCATATGAAAACCAGTTCTCCAGAGACTGTCCTGTCAGTTCCATTGCATGCCTTTTCAGCTCTTTAGTAAGTGGAAATGTAGATGAAGTTGTCAGATCCGGCAATCCTCTCGTGGATGTCAAAGCAGCAAACCTGGTCTGTGGTGAGCCTCCATTCCTGTTAATTCTGACCTTTGCCCTTTAGTTCAGCCTCATGAAGCATCCTGTCATGTGATCATCCTTCAGCTCATACCGTAGAGTTAATGAAAACATAACTTTTATGTTGGCAAAAGCTGCACTGTGATTCAATCCCGTGGCTCATATAGATATGTTTAGTCATGAACTTCTAACCAAGCTGCAGGTTAAGTTCATGCATCAGGTGAGTTGGCACTTTTTTTTATAGGTAAGTAGGCAGCATACTACTAATATGACACTCTTGCTGCACACGGCAGGGCTTTCAGCACTTGAAGTTTAAGGCAGCGTTTAGGTGATACTTGGCAGCTGCAGCAGTGTTGGGATCCTGAAAGTTCAGACGGTGCAGGTCACACCAGCGTCCTCGACATGGCCACAGTTGGTTTTGCCCCAACCGGAAAACTTACACTGGTGAATACTGTCTTCTGTCCCTGCGCATGCAACATCATCCATCCAGATCAGACCAGTACCTGCACAGAAAAGAAGAGGAAGCATTACAAAAAAAGACATGTTTTCAAAAATTATGCAGAAAGGAGACTGATGTTTTTATCTGAGGTGAAATTGAAGGGCAGAGCAGAAACAAAACCCCCAGCATGGAATAGAACACCAGTGACATCAGAGATTAAATGAATTAATGCAGACGCTACATGAAAATGTAACAGGCTGGGTCTCTGACCCAGCGCTCTGAGTTCATGTTTGTATTTGTCTCATTTTGTTATGTGATTAGTTTTGTGTCA